TTTGAGAGAATTGACCCCCAGCTTCCCTGAGCTTTCCCGAATGTTCAAGCGGATCATGTGCCTTTTTGGGAGCACATACTTGTGCGAAAAGCTCTTCTCTACCTTGAATTTCAATAAGTCCAAGTACAGGTCCGGACTTACCGATGATCATCTTCAAGCCATACTAAGGGTCTCAACTGCTTCCTCCCTCAAGCCAAAAGTGGCTCGGCTATGCAAGAGGAAGCGCTGCCAGGTCTCTAGCATCAAGGAGTAGGCAAGAGAAGCCACATGCAGAAGAACAGTTCATGTCCTTCAATGTTCCATTCATGCTCAGGACAATTCATGTTGAGAAGATTAAAGGTTAAAGAACTGTTAGTGCAGACATTTGAATCTGAATACAGCAGATATAGAAGACTGAAGAAACCACATATAGTCACTCACTAGAGAAATCTTATTAATTATTATAATTATTACAGTATTATTATTAATTACTGGTTGATTGATTGATTTTCTTATTAATTCTTAATTTATTTATTTTTTCATCTTATTTTGTGTTAAAAAATAAAGAGATTTGAGAAGATTGGAATTTTTGGAATTGGAATTGTGGAAAACCTGATGCGGCCCATCCTCATCTGGACTCTGCCTCCAGCGGCCCCCAGGTAAATTGAGTTTGATACCCCTGCTCTAGAGGGTTCTTTAAACTACTCTGTCTCAGAACACGACATGGCTCTATGATCCAACTTGCAAGTACAGTACTGTATGTGTATTTAGGGTTGGAATTTTATGCTGGATTATCCTGATACACTAATCACTCTGAAGACTAAACAATTCCCTGCAAAAGTTATCTAATGATGTTGTTTAAAGTGGAACCCCATGCACATTTATTCAGACGTTCCTCACAATGGAGTTTATTCCTGGTAGCTGTGCACAAGGTTACAGCTTAACAGTCAACTGTTGGCAGCCAATACAACTTCAACAGAAGCTGTCATCACAAACCAATAAGTAATTCCCACTCATTTGGACCACTTAAGTTCTTGAGAGGAACATAAACGCCTTAAGAGAACAAACTCTTTAACTTCCAGAATCTAGGCAGAAAGGGCAACCATTGGATAACTAAATGCTACCAGTACTTGCAAATATTTACCCCTTTTTAAGGAATAGCCTCAGAATGCTTTAACCATAAGGACCACAATCATGCTGCTCACACAACCATATTGTTGAATTAGTGCTCCCACTTTTTTGGAGCTTGCACAGAATGTACTTTGTTCTAGAAAAGTAAGTGTTATTGCACCACGCCAATCTTTCAGCTTGGATGGCAACAAGGTGGAGATTAGAGATGAGAGTATTCGTATTCGTATACAAATACCCCTGCACGACTGGACATACAGTGGTACCTCGCTAGACAATGACCTCACAAAATGACGAATTTGCATGATGATGAGGTTTTGCGATCGCTATAGCGATTTGCAAAACAGTGATTCCAATGGGCGATTTTCGCTTGACAATGATTTGGTCCGTGCTTCACGGACCATTTTTTCACAAGACAACTATTTTTTCAGCAGATTGACGGCTTCGTAAAATGGCTTCCCTATGTTTTTGGGACCGGTGCTTCGTAGGACAGTCATTTTTACAGCTAATTGGCGCTTCGCATAATGGCTGCCCTATGGGTGATCTTCGCAAAATTATGTCGATCTTTCCCCATTGGAACGCATTAAATGGGTTTCAATGAACTCCAATGGGGAAACGGTTTTCGCAAGATGATGATTTTGCTAAACAGTGATTTTCACAGAACGAATTATCATCGTCATATAGGGCACCACTGCAATAAGGGTCCAGCCACCTGGGGCTGGACCATCCACTCTACACCCACCACCGCTACTAGCTCCACTCTCCCTTCCCATTGCTCCGGAGCTCCGGTCGGCTACCCACTCCCAGCAGAAGGAGGGAAGACAAGTTGCCCTGCCTAGCTAATGAGTGGACAGCAGAGTGGAAGCTCTGGAGTGACTGGAAAGGAGAGTGGACTTGGCAGTGGACATGTGAGTGGATGGTCCAGCCTCCCTCATTACGTCCAGCTGTGCAGGGGAATTCATATACGAATACTCCCATCTGTAGTGGAGATAACAGAACACCACAAGCAAGCCATCATGAACCAGCCCTGCAGTAACAGGATCCAGGGCATGGATAGTATCTGTTCAGCTGCTTAAGATGAAAAAATGATTAATCAATGTTCAGCTTGCCAGAAATCTGAAAGTTTCACAGAGGTGAGTATAAAAATCACATCAGAGGGCTATTCCCTCCCCTTCCTATCTAAATGTGCATAAACCCTGGAGTTATTTTTAATGGGAATTTTTTTTTCACTGTGAGTAGTTTGCTTTTTACAGAGTTAGCAATCCCATATCCACTTAAATGGCCTGCTCCACCTATTTTCTTCATCATCGCATAAATATAAGCTGATATATCTAAAGTTTGATTTAATAGATACTGAATTTAATAGAAACTGAGAACTATTTTCACGGGGCAGGTGAAGTTTAAGAAGAGCCTTTCAGTCCATAAGACGCACAGACTTTCCACACCCCTGTTTTGTGGGAAAAAAGTGAGTCTTATGGTGCAAAAAATACAGTATTTTCACGGAGCAGGTGAAGTTTAAGAAGAGCCTTTCAGTCTTTCTGCTGCATTGAATACAGCAACACACATACAGTACAATGAAATTTATACTAATGCTGTAATTCATGTCAAATAATACTACCACAATGATAAATCAAGGAATATTTCTTACTTTTCTACTATCTTTTGATCTGGACTGGTACTCTAATGCTTTCATTTTCTAATACCAGAAATATTATAACATATACTCTCATTTCTGCTTAAGTTATTTTCACTCTGCTTCTGTTCAGCTCCTAGAATTTTCAGAGATTCTCCTAGCTACAGAATGCATGATAAATGCTTCAACTTAAATCACATTTTAATCATAAATGATACCATAAAAGCCTAATGTAGAGAGCCACTGTGAACATGTAAACCTCTGAATAAAGTTAGATCAGTGAAAACTAATTCTATAAAGCACTCTATTCTGACTTTAGTTTCACTAGTACTTTAAAATCAGCACATGGGGGGGGGAAGGTGCTTTAGGTCGATGAGTTTTCAAAACAAGATCATAGGGTACTTTAAAGCTGAAACACTACAATGTGAATAGTTGTATTTCTTGATAAGGGAATAATTATGCAATTGTTTATAAAATGCATTACAAAACCTTCCAACTCATTTGGTTATGACTATCAGGTAGAGTTTTCCCAAGTGTTCATTGGACACACCTTGACTAGAAGAACGGTTGTCAAGTGGTATCCACATTCTTTCTGATTTACAAGGGAACTACAAGCTTATCTAAGCCTATTTTTATTGCTCCTCTTAGTAAGCATTTCCCGCTGATTTTTATAGTATATTTTATTTACCTTGATTTTTTAACTTTTATTGAAAGCATTGTTTAGTGATCTTCTGAACATTTAACTAGACAAAAAGAGAAGAAACCATTTTGAATACTGGTAGAAAAATTAAAGAACAGAAGTGGGCCTTTGCTGCCTTCTTCAACAAGTCTCAAAAATCACTAAAACAACCAACCAAATAAAAATAGACCAATCATGGAGGAGGTAGGAGAGAACTGACTAAGGGGCAGGGTATCTTACCCCAGTTTATTTTCCAGAAACAATTAGGTCACTGTCTTCAAATGTAGCATCTGAATGAACTGAATTTAAAAATAAGGCTTCACAACACATTCCCTTAACTTCTTCTCTTTTTTTCATTAAATGTATGCTCAGTTTCACTGACCATAAATTAATTGTTTCCTCCATTTGTTCCAATGCAGCATATTCATAAGGAAAGCCTGAAAACGAGCTAATTGAAGGAAGTATGACTAATACAGAAAAATATTTTTCTGTGAGCTCATAGCAGTTTTATTACAGTAGGAAATTCATTCAAAAATTTCTAGGAGTTTCTTTAGGGCTTTCTTTTTTCTGGTGAAAATTCATATTTATGTAATTGTTTCTCTAGATAACATTGTACCAGTAGATGTAACTGTTTCGAAAAGTTTCATTTTTAAAAAATCAGATGACAGATCTTATTGGCCTAAAGTAGGTTCAGTACCAATTGATAGCAGAAATTCAGTCTGTTTTTTAAAAATTATATTAAAAATGGGATTTGAAGTTTTGGAAATGTGCTCTGGTCAATAAAGTTGCTGTAAACACCCAACAGAAAGAAAGGCTAAAGGAATCTCTTTCCTTTTTAAAGAAGGCTTATTTCACATTGAACTACACAGTGAGAAAAAAATTCTTCCTTAAAAACTACATTTCCCATTAATAAAAAGGATACAGCAAACAAATCAACATTCTAAAACACACTGTCCTGATAATCTGTTAGGTTTCTTTGAACGGCTGACTGTTCTCCTTCAGACATATTAGGTGAAAATATATTTTAAAACCATTATTATTCTGTGGTTGTTACAAACAACCTGGAAACCTAGACACCTGAGTATAATTGTTAACATGCACAGAAAAAAAGGTCTACAGCAGTTGGTACCATCTCTTCATACTTACCCATTCCATGTAAACAGTACTTCCTGATGATAGGTTTTATAGCTTCCATTAACTCAAAAATCCTTCAGCACCACAGCAAGACAAGCTGGATTACAAACGCTTTTGTCAGATGGCAAGATGAAAGGTTTTCCACCACAGTCATTTTCCGAAGTGTCATCAGCACTTCATTCCTATGATAAAACAACAAGGCAATGAGAAAGGAAAGTAAGCTTGAGCAAATTAAGATTCCAAACGGCAGTCTTCTCCAATGGATAAACAATCTTAAAGTGACAGTTACCAAACTCTTAGGTGACGGTCATTAATCCAAATTGGTTGCAGCTGGCATTATTGTCTACCACTTGGCTTAGTCAAGCCCACAAGAGTGCTAAACTTTATCACATGTTGCTGAATCACTGGCAGTCTCACCATTACAACCAACATGTAACTAAGCAATGTGAGTGAGTAAACCTTCCACAAACTCCAAGGCAGGGAGTTCTTATACAGAGCTGCCAATTAGCTCTTGCCCAATCACAAGCTGCAACTAGCTGAAGCTATCACATGACACGGCAGTCCCCACTACTGCAGGGAGATTTCTGAATTAGTTAGGGTTACACAAAGGACACTCACTGGGAGGGGGAAGCAGTGAGTACAAAATGGGAACGCCCAGCCTGGCTGCTAGAGCTTTAAAGCAGGAAACTCCCTCACTTCAAACACACGTTCAGAACAATGTTGAGCACATGTAAAAACCAAGCCAAGATGTAAATCCTTTTCTTTACTAATGCACTTGAGCCTATTTATGCTCCCTTTTCCCTCTAAATTCTCCTCTTTTAATTTAATTACATAAAACAGTATTAAATATGTTCTAAACATGTAAACAGGATTAGCAGAATGACAAGTTTAAGCAAAAACATGATCCACAGAGTATACTATTGTTTATCAATGGAATTAAGCACATATAAAATTACTTCATAAATAGAGTGTCTCAACAATAATAGCTTGAAAAATTATTTTATACATAAACTTAAAACAGTGAAGCATATCCTCTGTTCCCCGCCCAAAGCAATATCCATCTACTCACGGAGCTTACGTGTTTTTTCTACTCACAGTACTCTTTTGTGTATTTACTGAACCCTAACAAACACAACAGCTCAATATTGACTTTTCAGTACTTTTCTTCTCAAACTGCATAGGCCACTGAACCTAAGACTGTAAAACAGTTCATTCAAAACTTCTCTTGTAGAGTCACAAAGCACATGACATGTAAAATCTACAAATGCTATAGATCTGCATTTGGGAACAAGCACCACGCAGTTGCAATGACTGCTGTTAAAAATGAACAGCCCTGGTGCTTGCTATTGCTGCTAGCCAGTCCCAATTTATGGGGATGAAACACATGCCAGGACAAACCATATGAGGTGACTCAAGTTGCCTCACCCTCATAGAACAACAGGCTTCTTTAACAGGGGATCACAGAACCCCTTATAGGTATGACTCAGGACTTTATGCTATATTCAGAAAGAGTTGTTAAAATTACTCTCGAATGCCTATGTACGTTTGGATAGCAAGAGAAGGAATTTACCATTCCAGGCTGAACGAGGGCAACTGACTCTTAAACATTCCTATAAAACATATATTCTTACATGTTTAATTTAAATTAAATCCCAACTGAATTTTTTGAATGCAGATCCCGCACTCACCCAGCCAATACTTCAGGAATTTTCATAACACTTCAAAATAAAAAGGTAAAAAAATCAATAAATAATAACAACAAAACAGGAAGAAGTACAAACAAACGGAACTCTGTGGTGTTCAATGAACCTTGATAGATTTTAAGGTAGACTATAAAATAAATAGGCAATTAAGTAAATAATCCTCATCTTTCCAGTCACATAATCTCCACCACAAGAGAGAGCACTTTCCTCTGCATAGTTCAGCAAACTGTAAACAGTACTGAATGTAATCGTTAAGCAGTTGCCCAGGGGCACAAAAGAAATTGGGGATTACAGTGCAGGTTTAGTCTCTTGTTGCTAGAACAAACACAGTAAGACATAAGGCATGTTTTTACACCAAGCAGCATGTGACAGAAAAAGAAATTAAACATGCAAAAAAAGAGATATGCCTTTCTGAATGCCGCTTTCTGAACAGCATTAGAAAACAGTGTTCCTTGGCTTTACTTGCTTTTTAAAAGCCTTGTTTCAAACTCTACAGGACCTCCAATCCAAAGGAATGTTGATACCTTTAAGCCTGCTCTTGATACAGAAGAACTATGTCTGTAATATCATAAGTGTAACTAGGATGTACTGAATTCCATAAATCAGACTTCAGGTGAATGTCCTGAGCTTCAACTGTATCCACACAGTGGCACTCTTAGCAGTTGAAATTGACAATTTCAAAATTATCATACAAGATCTACAACTAAAAAACCTGGGAGAGTCTGCATGCAACTGCATGGCAAACTCCCAATGCTGCTCAACTAGTGGATCTGATTCTAGATCAAAGGGAAAGCAAACAAGGGGATTGGGTCAAAAACTAGAGAATGGGAAATCTACTATCTGACACAATGACATGTTGCTACAAATGAGGAGAGTTCGAGTTAAACTTTTATTCTTGGGATGTCAATGAAACTTGACTCAAACACTTACCATCACACATTTAAGTCCTTATTCTACATACACAATGCAAACAGAAAATTTCTGAAGGACACTAAATACATTGGTTCCCAGTATCAACGTTTTTCCTTTTCTCATGTATACGAGAGATACTGTGGTGTAGTGGTCACCAAGTGTTGGACTCGGGAGAAATGGATTCAAAATCCCACCTGGCCATGAAATTCAGTGAGTAACCAGTCACATTCTCTCAGGAGAGCAAATCTCATAAGGTTGTTACAAAATATGGTAAGGGACAGCCACAATAAAATACCTTGAGCTTATTAAATATGGGGTATAAACATATCAAATATAAATATAACCATATAAATATAAGCATCTCTGGCTATACTTATTAACTTGCATAAGCAGCACTGAACAAACTGTGGCTTTCTTTTGATTTGATAAACATAGGATTGAGGTAACACATACTTTTATAACTAGTGTTTTGGGGAAGTAGTTGAGTCTTCCTATAAGGCACCATTTTATTTCTTCCCATTCTCAACCAACCCCTTCTTGATCCATATTAGTGTGGAAATTTAAGAAATGGGTCTTGTGTGTTTGCCTGTAAACCAGAAGGTGGCTGTAAAAAACTGACCTAACAGTGGTAACAAAAGTACAAATTAGTAGCAGCAGCTGTACTACAAACTAAATGGCAAAAAAGATTAAAAAGGAACAGGTAGGAAGGCTGTGTGCATAAGCCTGTTAACAAGAGCTCATTTTCCGCATACAGTTTGGATATATTTTAAAGCAGTGGTTCTTAACCTTGGGTTACTCAGGTGTTTTTGGACTGCAACTCCCAGAAGCCTTCACCACCAGCTGTGCTGGCTGGGGTTTCTGGGAGCTGCAGTTCAAAAACACCTGGGAAACCCAAGGTTAAGAACCACTGTTTTAAAGCATAGGTATCAGCGGTCACATAGCTTAGTAGAATCTTGGGGGACTAAGCCAAAAAAAGGGGAAGGTGCAAAAAAAAAAATGGAGAACAAAGGCTGCATAGCCTCAAATGATGCTAAAAATGTCACTTTGGTATAAAACTTTTTTCATGAAAAACACTAATTAAGCTATATAAAACAAGCACAACAAAGAAATGAAAACAAAAACCCTGCAACCAATTCTAATTATAAAATTAGATCACAATCAGAATAATACAACTTTACAAATTGCTTTAATGGATATTTTGTCCTCACATCAAAACAGAATGAGAAGAAATTTTTCCCATTTCTGAGCATCATTTTGATGGTCCACCACTTTTCCATTTATAAAATAACAGATTTTAGTCTCAAGTGGAGAAGACCCACTGCAATCAACAGAGCTTAAAGTCCCATTCATTTCAGCAGGTCTACTTTGGATGAACTAACACTGGACTCAATGCTGTGGCAAAAGTTTTCATTAAGTTTGCTTTGTTACATGACCTGGTCAATGAAAGTGCATGCATCAATAATAAACTATACAGAAGAATATCTTGTTAAGTTTAGTGAAACTGCTACTTTAGTCTTTCAGATGCTATGAAATGTATTAGTACAAACAAGGACTTTAATCGCAATAATCAGGAACCTATTATCTTCATTCAAACCTGAGTACTTTATCAAATGAACAATATTTTGTAATTGGGACTCCCAAGACTAGCGGCCAGCATTCAACAAATATAGAATGGGATGATATGTTCACAAAACTTCTTTATATGTACTTCTTAGTGGTTTAGATATCTGACTGTGGAGTCAGAAGTTGGGAGTTCAGTTCCCCACTGTGCCTCCTTGGGAGGGGCTGGACTTGATGATTCACTGGGTCCCTTCCAACTCTGCAGTTATAAAAGAGCATGTGCTGCCTGCCCTAAGGACTCTACTATTCAGGCACCTTCCAGGTGTTCAGAATTTTCTCTTGGCCTTCTAAGAAAGATGTTCCATGTTTCATATTTGTATCCATTTGCAATGAATCTAATTACTTGGTGTTAATTAATTATAAAGCACAAGAGAAGTTATGACTGTTCTTTCATATCTTGGGAGCCTGCCACACATTTAGAAAGTCTGGCACACAAAAGCCAAACACTTTCTTCTCTTCTTCCCTGCAGCAGCTACTTTTTTTTCAAAGTTAACAATGTTAGAAATCTTGGTTTATTTCTCTTTGAGCACACCGTGATCAGCATTTCAGACACATCTATTTTACAATGATAAGTGTTCCACATACTGTACCTTCGGAAATATTAATAAATCTTCCATATATCTTGAGTATATGAACTTGGTTTCTCCTCATCTCACCTCTACATGTGTAAACAAGTTCAAAGCTAAACAGCCATTACTTTTTAATCTGCACAGTGCATTTACTGGCTAAAATATAAACGTACTATGAATTTATTATGTTAAATTGTCATTTCTATTTCTTTGTTACCTTTGTCAGAGACCTTGAGGTTCCCATTATGAGACATAAAATCCTCTTCCCTACAGTAATGTTCATAAATACACACTTACACATGGATAAACAGATTTTGATATTTCCGAAGGAGATTATTTTCTGAAGAGTTCTACAATTTTTGAAAGTTCTCCAAATTAAGTGGAATATTTTTTAAAAACTGGAATTGTGTGTGCATGCTGAAGGTAAGGAGAAGCATCACAGAGTATTTTGGACAGATTCAAGGTTGCCAATTCACATTCCAGTTTAGACAGGATACCACTTCAAAAGGATACAAACTGTACTATAATAATCTATTTTATAAGGCCATGTCTTTTTGTAATATAATTCTTCTCTTCACCTGAAATCATTTGTTTACAACATTATTCTTATGAGATAGCCTTCTTCACAAAATAATCCGCTTT